CTACAAGGGCCAGCAATGAACGTACCTCTGACGACCTCTGGCGGAGTTTCTTCCTCCTCCTGCTGCTGCTGCTCGGGAACAGTGCACAGGACAGACGCCACTGAAGCCCCCTTGCGAAGCTTCTTCTCGGTGCTGGGAAACCTGAAGGGCGTGGAAAGTAGAAGGAGGTGACTGCTGAATCGGCTTCAATTCATCTTCCTCCTCCTCCTCCTGCTGCTGCTCGGGAACAGTGCACAGGACAGACGCCACTGAAGCCCCCTTGCGAAGCTTCTTCTCGGTGCTGGGAAACCTGAAGGGCGTGGAAAGTAGAAGGAGGTGACTGCTGAATCGGCTTCAATTCATCTTCCTCCTCCTCCTCCTGCTGCTGCTCGGGAACAGTGCACAGGACAGACGCCACTGAAGCCCCCTTGCGAAGCTTCTTCTCGGTGCTGGGAAACCTGAAGGGCGTGGAAAGTAGAAGGAGGTGACTGCTGAATCGGCTTCAATTCATCTTCCTCCTCCTCCTGCTGCTGCTGCTCGGGAACAGTGCACAGGACAGACGCCACTGAAGCCCCTTTGCGAAGCTTCTTCTCACTGCTTGGGGATCTGACGGGCGTGGCAAGTGGAAGCACATGCTATCACACCGAGCTCAAGAGGCGTTATATTATACCCTCCCCATCCCTCCCATCCCCTGCCCTCCTACCCCTCCCGTCCCTTCCCAAACTCATCCACTGCTCGTGTCCTCTCGCCGTGCCTCACACACAGCCACACCACTCAAAACCACACCGACACACAACAGAAACACTCACATGGCATGGCACCGCTTGTACACACCTTCCCCTCCCTTCTTCACAGCTGGCACACACCCCCCACTACTCACAACACTCTCACACCACCCACCAATCACATGGCGTCAGTCGTGTCAGGGTTGACCATGCCATCCACCGCCTTGCCCACTCACAACACCCACACACCACCCACCACCCAACACCCACCACCCAACACCCACCACCCAACACCCACACACCACCTACCACCCAACACCCACACACCACCCACCACCCAACACCCACACACCACCCACCACCCAACACCCACCACCCAACACCCACCACCCAACACCCACACACCACCCACCACCCAACACCCACGCACCACCCAACACCCACACACCACCCACCACCCAACACCCACGCACCACCCACCACCCAACACCCACGCACCACCCACCACCCAACACCCACGCACCACCCACCACCCAACACCCACACACCACCCACCACCCAACACCCACACACCACCCACCACCTAACACCCAAACACCACCCACCACTCACCTCACTCTCACTCCACCCACCACTCACATGGCATCAGTCGAATCAGGGTTGACCATGCTATCCACCGCCTTGCCCTGGCAGCCAAGTTTTGCAAACTCTCACACCACCCACCACCCAACACCCACCACCCAACACCCACCACCCAACACCCACCACCCACCACCCAACACCCAACACCCACCACCCAACACCCACCACCCAACACCCACACAACACCCACACACCACCCACCACCCAACACCCACGCACCACCCACCACCTAACACCCAAACACCACCCACCACTCACCTCACTCTCACTGCACCCACCACTCACATGGCATCAGTCGAATCAGGGTTGACCATGCTATCCACCGCCTTGCCCTGGCAGCCGCGCTTCCCAAAGAACTTGACCTGTGAACACGCGACACCTGTCGCCTCGCCGCCCGAATCCACGCCGCCCGAGCCCCCCCGGCCGTTCCACCACACCTTCACGCTCTTCCGCCCCGCCTTCTTGGGCACACTCACGCAGCGCTGCCTGCTGAAGCTCAACCGCACCGTACCCAGCAGCACCGTTGTGGTAACGCTGATGGTTTCTTGCACAATCCTCGCATTGACCTTGCTGCTTGCTGCTTCCTCTACCGTGTCTCTGCCATGCGCTGCCTTCATGATCTGAGCTGCTGCAGAGGACACGGGAGGGGACGTGCGGAGATGGATTTTTAGGGCGTCTCAATAATCCTTTCAGCGTGCTTCGCAGTGCCATACGCTGCCTGCATCATCTGAGCTGCTGCAGAGGGCAACGGAGGACGTGCGGAGAAGAGAAGAGAGAGCAGATATGAGAGAGCAGAGAGGGGGAGAGAAGAGAATAGAGACGAAAACATAAAGGAGGCGGAAGGAGGATCCGGCAGCAGGAAAGAGGGAACAGGGAGAAGCGCATGAATGAAAGAGCTTGCGAATGAAGGCAGGGGGGCGGAAACAGTCAAAGGCAGGCGCAACGCTGAATGAAGGCAAGGGGGCGGAAGCAGTCAAAGGCAGGCGCATCGCTGAATGAAGGCAAGGGGGCGGAAGCAGTCAAAGGCAGGCGCAACGCTGAATGAAGGCAAAGGCAAGAGCCCATCAAGGCAAGTGGCTGGCAGCAGTCGAAGCGTTTGACTTGAGATCTGAGATCGTGCAGTAGTGAGAGAAGGCAATGAGCGCAGACTGACCGGCGATGAGCGCAAGGGCGAGCAGCAGGAGGCCGGCAGGAGAGGCGCGGAGCGACCCCATGATGATGACGGCGGGGGGATCCGCGCGGGAGTGGCGGCTAAGAGGCCGCGGAAGAGGCGGCTCAACAGCAGAGCGTCTGTACTACACGCGGATTTTTGAGTCGACTCAAAAATCGACTCACTACACGCGGCTCAACAGCAGAGCGTCTGTGCTGTGACGCGAGAAACACGCCGGAGAATGACAGAGCGCGATGGGACGCGAGAATCACGCCGGAGAATGACAGAGCGCGATGGGACGCGAGAATCACGCCAGAGAATGACAGAGCGCGATGGGACGCGAGAATCACGCCGGAGAATGACAGAGCGCGATGGGACGCGAGAATCACGCCGGAGAATGACAGAGCGCGATGGGACGCGAGAATCACGCCGGAGAATGACAGAGCGCGATGGGACGGTGTAGAATGTGGAGTGTACGTAAGGTGACGGATTGCCCAACGCAAGGACAGAACTGGAAGGAGAATGGCAGGCTTGCTTCGGTTTGTGCTGTAAACTACGTTGCGAGTCACGGCCATGAGCCAAGCTTAGTAATAGCTGCGGTGCCATGGCGATTCCTAGGAACGCAGTACGGCGTGCTTGGCTTGAGTGAGTCGCTGGGAACGGAATTATTTGGAATGTTAGGAACACGATGTGTGCTTGACTCGTGCGTGAGTTGCGGAAACGAGCCAATCTGAATTTAGGAACGCGGTACGAGCGACGGGGTCGCTTGATATTGACGAAATGGGAGAGCGTTCGCGAACCAATGACGAAACGCAGAGGCTCCAGCAAGGCCTTCTCACATTGTGGTTCCAATCATTTTCGGCATGAGGATAATACAGGCGAGAAATTTCGGGAACCAGCAGTTGCATTATACTGGCGACGAGTGGTGTGCGACTAACCATTAGTCGCACTAAGTCGCACTACACTAATATGTGGTTCGTCGCACTGGATAGAGTAGGCAGAAACTGGAATGGTGTTTGACTGCTGCTGGAAAAACGCGTTCGAAGTTCGAACTGGATGAATAGACCGTATTCGGAAAAAGAAACAAGTGATTGGTGGGAAGGTCCCGATCTCGTGGGGAGGTTCAGCTGGAGGACGCGTCCCCTCCCCTCCTGCGATGGATCGATCCTGCGCGTGGTTGAAGAAGGTTTGAAAGGGTTAGAATACAAAACAGAAGAATTTCAGTACAGTTGAGAGTCGATTTCGAAAGACGGGTCGGGGTGTAGAGGGGACAGCTCCTGATACCGCCGAACACCACCATGAACGTTTCCCTTCCTGAGGGACAATGGGAACGGTGTTGTGCGGTGGGGGTAGCATGGCAGCGCTAGGCGTTTTTTTACAGGCTGGGCTATAGCAACTCTTAGTGAAACCGAAATAAAAAGTACAACTCTAGGTACTGATACACACAACCCACATACAAATGCCTTGAATGAAACTGGGCAATCCCTAAGGCAGGGCTCGAGCATCCATTCAAAGTTAGACAACGTGCAACTGACCCTCTCCTGAATGAAAGCAACTCACCAATACCTTAATCACCCGTCTAATAGCCCCCTCCAAAATAACCCCATCCCCCCCCCCCCCCCGCCCCCTCAGAAGCTAATGCTATCTCCACTTTAGTACAAGCTACTAATCCACAAGCTCCAGAAACTTCAACTTCAGCTGGCGATTTGACCACGCATTTGTCATGTGCGTACACCCCCCTTTAACCTGGGTAGGATTACATCCCTGGTGGGTAAAGACTGAAACACTTCACAGAGCGGGTATATCCAGGGTACTGCATATTCCTGGTAACGGTGCAAAGAGAGAGAGAGAGAGAGAGAGAGAGAGAGAGAGAGAGAGAGAGAGAGAGAGAGAGAGAGAGAGAGAGAGAGAGAGAGAGAGAGAGAGAGAGAGAGAGAGAGAGAGAGAGGATGACTCAGAAACGCTGCATATCTGGCAACTGGAGCAGAAAGGGAAGTGAAAGGGTAGTGCAGTGCAGGAATGATGGTGATGATGATGATGATGATGATAATGGAGAGCCATCAGTCAGCCACTTACAGCTCAACTTTTGTATCCAGCCGTTTCTCGAGAGAAAACAACTGAGAATCAGGGTTCCCTTGGCAGTTGTCCGTACTGAATTCCTGGTATTTGTAGCAATACCCATTGGACTTGACACTGTATACGGTATATTTTGTGGTGTACTTCCCAGCCACTGCAGCTGGGAACTGCGTGCAACCGTCCGTGTTATAGCGGAGGGTGTAGGGCCGAGAGGTATTGTCCTTGGCGGATCGATTCACGATGAATGTGTAGCTGTTGCCACCAACTGTGTCCTTTCCTCCTGAAAAAGAGCGAGAAACAGAAGGGCCCGGTAAAACGTTTGCTTCCATCTTATTTGATGGTATTGCTCTAGCCATATTGCATTCTTCTGCCCACACAGCCATGGTATTAGAGAGGTTGTCAAGAGAGGGAGCATGCATTGACCAAGCTCACATTGGGCACATTTGGTGGCAGTCTAGCGCGAGTGAGGAGTGCGTAGGGCGAGTGAGGAGTGCGTAGGGCGAGTGAGGAGTGATTAGGGCGAGTGAGGAGCGAGTAGGGCGAGTGAGGAGAGAGTAGGGCGAGTAAGGAGAGAGTAGGGCGAGTGAGAGGAGAGTAGGGCGAGTGAGGAGAGAGTAGGGCGAGTAAGAGGAGAGTAGGGCGAGTGAGGAGTGCGTAGGGCGAGTGAGAGGAGAGTAGGGCGAGTGAGGAGAGGAGAGAGTAGGGCGAGTGAGTAGGGCGAGTGAGGAGAGAGTAGGGCGAGTGAGGAGAGAGTAGGGCGAGTGAGGAGAGAGTAGGGCGAGTGAGGAGAGAGTAGGGCGAGTGAGGAGAGAGGAGGGCGAGTGAGGAGAGAGTAGGGCGAGTGAGGAGAGAGTAGGGCGAGTGAGGAGCGAGTAGGGCGAGTGAGGAGAGAGTAGGGCGAGTGAGGAGAGAGTAGGGCGAGTGAGGAGAGAGTAGGGCGAGTGAGGAGAGAGTGGAGACTCACCCGCAACACATTCGGTGGCGGTCATCCCGTAGCCTTGAGGGCACTCGCAGTAAGGCACCTGGATTGGAATGCTGCCCTTTGATGCCACGGCCTTGCAGGTGGCTCCAGTGGGACAGCTGCCACACGGTGAGTCTGAGAGGTTGGGATGGGTGCAGTGCCGTATGTGAGTGTAAGGACGCACGAATGCACATGCAATGCAAGTGCGCATGCGTCTCGATGTACGAATGGACGTGTTAATGGGAGAGCGGGAAGGATACGATGTTAATGCACGTGTTTGTTGTTCTGCATGTGTTTGCATTGACCTTAGTAACACCCCCTGATTAATGCAAGGACCATGAGAGAGAGAGAGGGAGAGAGAGAGAGAGAGAGAGAGAGAGAGAGAGAGAGAGAGAGAGAGAGAGAGAGAAGCTCACCCCACTGGCAATAGCGCTCTCCATTCTGGTCCTTCACACAGGTGCCATCCGGCTCACATTTCAATACGTCACACGCACGGTCAACTGCAACACAGGTGAAAAGAAAGGGGCATTAAAGAAAGATATGGGAATGCCACCCTTCACACAGGTGCCCTCCGGCTCACAGCCCAGCATGTCACACGCAGGCGACAAGAATGCGGCAACAAACAAAGATATGCCCAACGCCTTACATGCAGAATATTCTGCACCACAGAAACAAGAGGATTTCGCATCTAAGCACCTCAGCACCTTCAAAATCACACAACCTAATGTCACTCCCTTTCCAAAAAAGTGCGTGCAGCATAACCACATTCCCTCTGAATGGGTCAATAGAGGACGGACCAACATTGCATATAACAGACGGCATTGCAGGAGTCGACTCTAAAAGAAGACAGCAAAGGACGCACCCGTGTCGCAAAGGACAGATGCCACCGAAGCCCACTTGCTGATCGCCTTTTCGCTGCTCGGGAACCTGATGGGCGTTGAAAGGGGAAGCATAAGAAGTATCACCATGTGTTAAGAAAACACTTCTAATTCAGTCCCCTCCCCTCCCCTCGCCCCCCCTCGCATCCCCTCCCACCCCACCCCATCCCTCCCCACTTGAACTATCAAGGACGCATCTCCTGCACGGGCTGACTATGCTCTCAAAGCGAATTTCAAGGCGCCTCAAGCAACCTTCCCTCCCCTCTTTTCCCGTCCCCTCCCTTCCCCTCCGCACTCCAACTCACAGCAGCATGCCAGCAGCGCGCGAGTTGACCGCGCTGTCCAGCGCCTTGCCCTTGCAGCTACCCTTCCCTCCCATGCCCTCCCCTCCCCTCCCCTCCCTCCCTTCCCTTCCCGTCCCCTCCCCTCCCCTCCCTCCCTTCCCTTCCCGTCCCCTTCCCTCCCCTCCCCATTCCAACTCACAGCAACATGCCAGCAGCGCGCGGGTTGACCGCGCTGTCCAGCGCCTAGCCCTTGCAGCCAGCCTTGCATCCCCTCCCTTCCCTTCCCTTCCGGTCCCCGTCCCTCCCCTCCCCATTCCAACTCACAACAACATGCCAGCAGTGCGCGGGTTCTCCACACTGTCCAGCGCCTAGCCCTTGCAGCCAGCCTTCCCTCCCTCCCCTCCCTTTACTTCCCGTCCCCTTCCCTCCCCTCCCCATTCCAACTCACAGCAACATGCCAGCAGTGCGCGGGTTGACCGCGCTGTCCAGCGCCTTGCCCTTGCAGCCAGCCTTCCCGAAGAACTTGACCTGCGCGCACTGCACGCCCTTCGCTGTGCCGCCCGCCGCGCTGCCCGCCGTGCTGCCCGCCGCGCTGCCCGAACCCCCTCCGGCGGAGCTGGATGAGGGATCACTGCCCTTCCACCACACGGTCACGTTTCTCCGCATCGCCTTCTTCGCCACGCTCACGCAGCGCTTGCTGCTGAAGCTCAGCCGCGTCGCTCCCACCTCCACTTCCGTCGCAACGACGCTGGCGCTGCCGCTGGTGGCAGCAGACAGCATGCTACGGTGGGTCACGCTCTTCACCGTGTCGTCGCCATACTCTGCCTCGATAACCTGAACCGCTGCAGAAGACAAGGGAGACGCTGTGCGGAGAAGAAAACAGAGAAAGCAAGAGTGCGGAGTAGAGATGAAAACACAGAAGGGAGCAGGAAGCGGGGAGCAAAGGCACGGATCTGAGAGGCCCCACAAGGCAAGGGCTGATTACAAGTCAAAGATTTCGCAGAAATGAGAGCGAAGGATACTGACCACAGATTAAGGCTGTTTTTGAGACGTCTCAAAAACAACCTCGCTTCACGAAGGATACTGACCACAGATTAAGGCAAGGGCGAAAAGAAGGAGTCCGGCACGAGAGGCGTGCATCGGACTCATGATGAAGGGAGTGGTGTCCCGCGGAAATGGCGTCGAAGAGGCGGTGAAAGAGGCGCAGCAGAGGAGAATTTGTGCGGTTACGTGCGGTTCACGCCGGTGTAGAGTTACGCGGAGTGTGATGGTACGGTGTAGCGTGCAGAGGGTAGGTAAGGTGGCTAGAATGAATGAATAGACCACTCCAACGAAAATGATAATTCGACGCAAGGAGAACCGGAAGGAGAATGCTCGAATCACAGAGATTGAATAATGGCAGGGGACTGTGCTGTAACTTATGTTGCGAGTTGCGATTATGGAGCAAGCGTAATAGTCTCCGTGCCATGGCGGATCCTACGGGTGCAGTCCGTGATTAGCTCGAGTCAATCGCTGGAAACGGCAATAATGTAAATATTAGGAACGCGGTATGCGCTTAGCTTGCGTGAGTCGCGGGAAGGGTCGATCTGAATTTAGGAACGCGATACGAGCGACGAGTCGCTTGAAACGGACGAAATGGACTAGCGTTCGCGAGCCAATAGCGCAACACAGAGGCTTCCAGCAAAGCATCTCCCGGTTGCCGCGTCCAATCAAGATCTGCAGCATACACTATACTATATCGACCAGCTTATGCGACTCATCAGGCTCGTCGCATAAGGATAGCAACGGAACGCGTATGGTAGCTTCTCCGTGTGAGACGCTGGTGGGGTCTGTTGTTGACCCGAATCTCAAGGCGGTATCAAGAATAACCGCATGGTGATGGTTGGGTAAACTCAAGGGACTTCGCTGACCAATGCGGGATCGTGACGGAGTCTTGTTTCGCCATATTCCGTTGAAAAACAGTAGGCGAGATGATACGAGAATGGATACCACACAAAAACCTCAATCGACATTCGTACATACTGTAAAATGCGAAGAGTTACCACCGTAAGTGTGATTGCAAGAAGGGTGTCAGTCATCTCGATTGGACCCCCGCTGACTTGCGGTGCAATATGCAATGCAACCACACCGCCACCCCTGCAAGAATGAACGCGATAGGATACACATGGGCGCTGTTCTGTAGGCGTTATTGCCTCCGCATTAAATTAACGGAACTTGTCCTTCCTTGTAGCTTCTGGCCGCACCAATTGCCTAATTTCTCAATTTGCTGGGGGGTGCTGCCACGAAGCTCCCACAAATTCTCGAATCTCACAAATTGCTGCCCTGCATAACTTGTGCGCTGGCTGATGCTAGCTCTCGAGGCCGAATTGGCAGCGCACAAGTTATGCGGACATTTGCCTGGAGATGCAACACCGTGGAACCTTCACCCCGTTAAATTTGTGTGCCCCAAAAGTGGAGTTCTGCAGGCTGAAGTGTTAAATTTGGCGCAAAAAGGTTTGGCAGGACAGCGCTTATCACCAAACCTTGATAGGCAGAAGCGCGCTTATCTGGGAAGATTCTCTCAAAGTTAGCGAACAACGGAAATGATTGGAATAGAAACGAATGGGGTACAAATGAGCAACCCTAGAAGCTGTACCCCCTAGAGTGCAACTCACTATAGCCTATCATATCAATGTTCAACATTTGACACACCCCCATAGGCTAAGTGAGGGGCATCAAAGCAAGCAAGGTGAACAAACGGTCACAAGACCAGTCAAAGCAAGAACCAAGGCAAGCTCAGGGTGGATCTCAAGGACACCACACAAATTCTGAGCGCAAGCAAACGGCCACAAGGCCAGTTCAAGAGTTCACTAGGATATAAATACAAAGCACAACAAGCAGAGCAAGCAACAGGACTACACCAACCGAGGGCCTACCTCAACAAGCCCCAACTGCACACAGAACCTGTGGTGGTCACCAAGCGCCAAGGCCTTGGTGAAGACGTCTGCAGTGTTGGCCTCTGAGGCCACAAAGTCCAGGCGTGCCTGACCGCGTCGCTGCAGCTCTCGCAGGAGGAAGTACCTCACGTCAATATGCTTCACTCTGCTCTCCAGTCGAGGCTCTCGACACAGGAGGATCATGGCCTTGTTGTCAGCGTACAAGGTCGGTGCAGAGCGAGGCCGCTCACCAAGGTCAGCGAGCAAGAAGGTCAACCAGCGAAGCTCTTGTGCCGCCATGGCACCAGCGTAGATCTCTGCCTCTGCACTGGAAGTAGCCACAGACGACGACCGTGTAGACCTCCACGACACAGCACCAGCTCCCAGACTGAAGCAGTAACCCTGAGTCGAACGTTGAGTCTCCACGTCGTCAGCGTAGGAAGAGTCGCAGTGACCAGTCAACGCCACTGGCTGAGTCCCTCCAAGCACAAGCCCCAAGCCTGATGTAGTCGCCAGGTACTTCGCCACCCTCACAGCAGCTGTCCAGTGGACAGGGCGGTGTCTCCCAGTCGCAACAAAGCGAGAAAGGATGCTGAGTGGAAAGGCGAGGTCCGGTCGAGTACAAGTCATCAGGTACATGAGGCAGCCCACCAGCTCTGCGTAGGGTCCACTGGACTCAAAGGGCTCGTCAGGAAAGGGGCCCGTGAGTCTGTGGTCAACAGCAAGAGGAGTGGGCTGTGTGGTGGAGAACTGGAAGTGGAACCGCCGAAGGACCTGCTGCACCATGTGTGACTGCGTCAGTGTGATGGTGCGAGCGGCTTTGTCCCGGGTGATCTGCAGGCCAAGGTAGCGCTGCAGCTCACCCAGGTCAGTGCACTTGTGTCTCTTCTGCAGTTCGGACTTCACCTGAGCCAGGGCTGCCCTGTCTGCTGTAGCAAACACCAAGTCGTCGACGTAGACAAGGATAAAGAAAGGAGTAGAACCCGCTCGAACAAACAGCGACGGGTCGGCGGAGGACGGGCTGAACCCAAGGTCACGAAGCGTGGAGCGAAGAGTGTCGTGCCACTCACGGGGCGACTGGCGGAGACCGTAGACTGGTCGCCTCAGGCTCCACTGGGTCCCAGGTGGGAAGGTGTCAGTGAAGCCAGGAGGACGGCGCAGCCAGATCTCCTCGTGCAGTCGGCCCTGGAGGAACGCAGTGGAGAAGTCGAGGGAGTGCAGCTCGTAGTCTCGCTGCGCTGCTATGTGGAGTAACACCCGAAGAGTAGTCATCTTCGGGGTCGGGGCGAAGGTCTGGAAGAAGTCAACTCCCTCACGCTGACTGAAACCCCTAGCCACATAGCGCGCCTTGAACACCGGCGGTGCTCCAGGCGGCCGCTTCACCTTGAAGAGCCACATGCCATCGACTACGTTCGCCCTGGGAGGGGGAACTGCGTCGACGTAGGTGCCTGTGGATCTCCAAGACGCCAACTCTGAGTCCATAGCCGCTTTCCACTGAGAGGCCCACGCCCCTGACACTGCCTCGCGGTAAGTGCGAGGAGTCGGTATGTCAAGGGCGTCGGGGTCTCCCTCAGGGGAGAGCAGCATGGCACACACAGAGGGAGAAGCGGCTGCCCAGTACTCCAGCTCGGACTCTCTGTCCTCTAGGACGTCACAGCCAAGGGCAAACCCACCCCCGACGGACAGAGGACGGTAGGGAGGAGCTGGCACCACACGGGTGGCGTAGTCAAGGCGGCTGGCGGCAGCAAACTCAGCGACAGCGGCAGTGAGAGCCGAGACAGACGACGGAGGGAAACGAGGGTCGGTGACAAGAGTGGTGAGGACACGAGCGCCAACAGGACGAACAGCGCGGTAGTAGTCAGAGATAGGAGTGGGGAGGGCAGGTAGAGAGGACGGAGGAGGAGACGGGAGAACGGACACAGGAGAAGGAGAACGACGACGAGACGAACAAAGGAGGGCAGTGTGGAGGTCAGTAACAGGGGACGAGTGACGAGCACGCGGAGGACAACGAGTGATCAAGTCGCGACGGACAGAGGGAGGAGGAGACTGAGGAGGAGGAGAAGACCAGACCACCGGACGGTCGTCAGGAGGAGGCAACGGAGGAACAAACACAGGAAGAGACTGGGAGCGGACAGGAGGAGAGGAGGAAAGGCCAAGGGCCCGCAGGCCACTCACAGGTGGGAACAACCGCCGCTCTAGAGGAAGCTGCGGTGGCGGCTGCGGCCGCTGCGGCTGCGGCTGCTGCTGCTGCTGCTGCGGCTGTGGCTGCGGCTGCGGCTGCTGCTGTTGCTGCTGCTGCTGCTGCTGCTGCTGCTGCTGCTGCTGCCGCTGCTGCTCCAGAAGGTCCAGCACCCGCAGCTCCTGCCGCTCCCTCTCCAACCGCTCCTGCTCCTCACGCTCACGCCGACGGGCAGCCTGGAGACGCGTGTCGTGGCGGTGGGGGGGCGGGGTGGACTCCGCAGAACCAGGGTCTCCAGCGTCAGTCTCCTCAGACTCAGCACCCCCAGAACCAGTACCGCCAGTGCCAGGACCTCCAACTCCAGCACCCCCAGAACTAGCACCGCTAGTGCCAGCACCCCCAACTCCAGCACCCCCAGAACCAGCGTCACCTGCGCCAGCACCTCCAGCTCCAGTACCCCGCGACCGAGCACCCCCAGACCGAGCACCGCCAGCGGCTGCACCTCCAGCTCCAACAACAACCGAGTCCACAGTAACCTGTCGCGGAAGTGCCGAAGGCTGCTGAGGGGACTGTGAGGAGGACTGCGGGGAGGGAGACGCTACCTGACGCGCGACCGAGGGGAGAGGGGTAGCGTGGGACACACCAGACGGGGCAGGACCAGGGGGGGGCGGGGGTACCGGAGGAGCGGGAGCAGGAGGAGGAGAGGGTGCGAGGAAGAGAGGGGGAGGGGGTACCGGGAGACCTCGACAGGGGTACCGGGTGTAGTAGGACACGGACTCGTCAAACCGGACGTCACGGGAATCTAGGAACTGGTGGAGGGGAGGGTGGTAAAAGGACCAGTCAGCAGAGTCCACTGGGAAACCAAGGAAGACACAGGGGACGGCGCGTGCCGAGAGCTTGTCCGCGGAGGTGTCGCGAACAAGTGCAAGGCAGCCCCAGACTCGAAAGGCCGACCCAACACCAGGGGATCCAGTCCAGAGACTGGTCGGTGAAGCCTCGGGCCGCGAGACACGCGGCTGGAGGTTCAGCTGGTGTGCGGCGTAGCG